TACATAATGTGCTCATCTATAACACTTCTTAGTGAAATAAAGTGTTTTGCCTTGTAAAAAATTACATGAAAAAACACCATGGGGAGTATATATCTACATCATAGAGGAGGTTACCCCCTACTTCTCCATGTCACTCCTAAAAGTCTAGAAGATATGTGAAAAGGGTGAAGAAAACTAAGAAGCACGCTAATATGATAAGGTAACATATGAAGAACAATAATTGCAAAAGGCGTTTCAGGCCTAAAATAAGAAAATCATAATAGTTTGATCAAGCCCCTTTTGCACAATACACTAAACATTGTATTTATGACCGTCTTTTGCGGAAACGATAGGTATCAAACTATGTCCAATTTTAGAAGGAAATTGAAGCAACAAGTTGAAACTGAAATATGTACCGTAGAACCCGGTTGCTTTATCTAGTTGACCAAGACTAGCAACTCTTTGGCTAGTATTTTATGCATGAAATAAATGCCCATTCGATTTAGCTTTAATGATCTTGATCACCATGTATTAACTCGTTTCTTCATATAATTACTCATACCCTCCACTACCATGTATTTCAGTTCTCCTATAAATACAACACCCTCGGTTCTTCCTACTCCACACTCCCATTTGAGATACAACCATACAGTCAATCTATCACCTCACCATCGCAACCTTGTCACATTTTGGTAGGTCCTATTCTTTTAGAAAATCTTGGTAGGTCCTTGCTCCATCTTCTTCCCAACCATGCCACTATTCATGGCCATTTAGTTTGTTGATCGGTGCCACCAGTTGTTTGGCAATTTCTCTGCTCAGATCTGAATGAACCATGAGTTATGTTCATGCTCTTCATGTTTATGCTCATTGTTGATTTCCACATCTAACCGAAACAAAAAAATAGTTAAAAATCTCATAATTATGAAATTTACATGAGGAATTCAGTATATGTTATAGATGTCAATTTTCATATAAATGAGTAAATCATCTTTGAACATATATGGATCCGGCCAAGTCATTTTGAAATGTTTGGGATCTGGTCATACTCTTTCAGGAACATGCGATGTAGTGAAATTGTTTTCAAAGCACATGGGTCTGGTCTAATCTTCGTCTAGATCTTGTCAAATCCTTTTTAAACTAGCTGCATATGAAAAAACTTTGGAAACATGGTAATGCAGTCAATTTTTTTCCAAATAAATATATATATTCTCAATGTTTTTCACAGACATGTGATCTTTTCAAATCGTTTTGAGAGAACCTTGCCAGAGCATAGTGTTTTTCTTTCAAAAACAACATAGTCTAGTGAATTTCCATTTAAAGCATGTTTATCTAGTCAATACCTATCAAGTGGAGCTAATTCTGGTAAGACCTTTTCGAGGACAATTGCATCTAGTCAAATCCCATTAAAATAGTTAAACTAGTTGAACTTCTTTGGAAACATATTTATCTGTTGACTTCCTTCCACATTCATACAAACATGGAAATTCAAGGAAACGGAATCGAAGTGTTTTTTTACTAAAAATGAATCAAAGAGTTGAAATAGAAATGTGTATTGTAGAACACAGTTGGTTGCATCCAGTTGGCTGAGACTAACATCTCTCTAGATCTTTTTATGGGCATATGGAATAAAATACATGTTCGATTCATATTTTATGACCTTGATCATCATTCAGTGTACTAACTATTTTCCTCACATAATTACTCGCTCTCTCATTATCATGTATTTCAGATATCATATTAATACATCACCATCGGTTCTTCTTGCTCCACATTGGCATTCGGAATACAACCACCCCGTCAATCTAACGCCTTGCTATCACAATCTTGTCAGAGCTCGGTATGCCCTCACTCCATCTTCTTCCCAGCCATGCCATTGTTTATTTCCATGTAGTTCATTGATTGGTTCCACCACTTTTTTGGTCACTACATTGTTTAGATCCGAATGAACCATGAGTGATGTTTACTCGCATATGTTTCCTAGTTTATTATTGTTGTTGTTGTTGATTTGTCTATCACAACGAACATAAAAAAGTATTTTAAACATTTCTCTTAATTATTAGATTTACACGATGAACTAAATACATGTGATAAAGGTGAATTTTCATATGAATGAGTCAAATACTTTTGAAAACATATGCATCCAGTTAAGTCATTTTGAAACATTTGGATCTGGTCATAAGATTTCTAGAACATGTGATGTGGTCAAATTGTTTTCGAAACACATGGACCTGGTCAAATCCATTTGAGAACAAGAATCTTGTCAAATCCTTTATCTAGATTTGCCACCTTTTAAACCATATATTTTTAAACATGTTAATATATTACAAAATAATAATTAAATAGTAGATCCGCACACATCCTTTTTTAATATGATAAATCATGATCTTTAGTAAAGAATCGAATATAGTAAAAACCGTATGAAAGCATGTTTAACTTGTCAAAACCTATCGAAAACATATGATCCTAGTCAGATCTTTCCAAGTACAATTGGATCTAGTCAAATTCCACTAAAACAAACATGGTGAAATCTGTTTGTTAAGAAATATGTTGGAAGCATATTGATCGATGATTTTTTTTTCCATATACATACAAGCATGGTGAAATCTATTTGTTAACATATTAGTGTGGTACTCGCAAAAAACATATTAGTATGGTATTTATTTGTGAAATACACGCTAGTCTGGTCAAAGAAAAGCATACTAGCTAATTTATGGCTTTGGTAACCGAAATATGTACTGTAGAACACAGTTGGTCGTATCTTATTGACTAGGACTAGCAACTCTTCAGCTCATTTTGGATGTATGTAATAGAATACCCATCCAATTCATATTCAATGATCTTGTTCACCATGAAATGTCTTAAGTTTTATTCTCATATCATTAATAGTTTCCATTGTCACCTATTTTTTCTAAGCCTCGATTCTTCCAACTCCACCCTACCATTCGAGTTACAACCATCTCACCTCGCCATATTAACCTTGTCACATCTCGGTATGTCATTGCTCCATCTTCATCCCAACCATTCAACTCTTCATGCATAGGTTGTTTGTTTATTGACATGGCCATTTATTTAGTGATTACTTTGATCAGATCCGAATGAGCCATGAGTGACATATATGCTTGTATTGTTTCCTGATTGTAATGTTTTTACTGTTCATTTATGTATCCCCACGAATCATAAAAGGTATATAGTTCAACTCTTTTCCATAGTTATCAGATTTTACACAATGATGTTTACCTTGACTGCAGTGATAAATCATGATCATTTATTCGTACTATCTTTATACAATATTGTCATGAATAACATAGATGACAATACGTATTCACATCTAGCATGATCTAAACAATTGCCGCCACGACAATATATGTGATAGATGTTAATTCTCGTATAACTTAGTCAAATATTTTCTGAAAACATAGGGATCCGGTCCAGCCACTCTGAAATGTTATGGTTATTGTCATACTTAAAAAGCATACAATGTGGTCAAAGTGTTTTCAAAACACAGGGATCTAGTGAAATCCCATTTTAGAACAAGGATCTTGTCAAATCCTTCATCTTGATTTGGCCAAACCCTTTCAAAATGTCTGCATGTGGAAAAAGATCCATTGAAAACATGATAATTTAGTCAAAACCGTTCAAAAGTATAGATCTGGTCAATTTTTTTTGGAAACATATAAATATGATCAAATCCTTTTTGAGCATATAAGAATATCGTCAAATCATAGTTTTTTTTCTCAAAACAAACGCCATTTAGTGAAATTCCTTTGAAACATGTTAATCTTGTCAATACGCCGTCTCAAAAGTCCAATTCCGGCCAAAACATTTTTAGGACAACTACATTTGGTCAAATCTCATTAAAAAATTAAATTAGTTATAACCGTTATAACCTTTTTAAAAACTTATTGATGTGGTGAAACCCTTCCACAGACATACCAACCAGGCGAAATCCTTTGGCTAGCATATGAATCTGCTAAGTTTTTTGAAACACATACTAGTCTGGTCAAAGCAATGCATGCTATGTATAATTTATTATTGGCTTTGCTAGCCAGTTGGCATGTGGTGGTAGGGAGGGGAACGGCTTTGGGTTAGGTCCATGTGCACAGTGAAAAACAGACAACAGCAAAAGGGGAAAAAAATATATACACAGGGTCGGATAAAGCCAAAAGCAGAGGAGGTCACAAAGTAAATATAATAAGTGCCCTGGGGGGGGGGGGGTCAAATAATGTAGACCCTTACCAATGCAGCCCTGACGCGCCTCACTTACCTGCCCGTTTTTAATCCCCCCGGCACAAATTTAATCCCTTTTTCTTTTCCTAAAAGATTACGTGACAGCGGGGGAGTTTAGAAAGAAAAGCAAAAGAAGAAGAAGAAGAAGAAGAAGAAAAAAGAAACGAAATTGGGAGGAGAGCTCGTGAGGGCTCCCAAATTACGTAGGAGATAAGCGAAATCCCCAAATTTCTCGCCCCCTCCCCTCCCCGTCCGCAGTCGTTCGAGTGGCCTGCGAGCGAGCGAGCGAGCGAGCGCCCCCGAGCTCGGTCTTCCCCGCGCGCAGTGCGAGCGTGCAGCCGACGCCGAGAGCTTGGCTTTGTTGCTGCTTTTGTGTTTCCTGGCTGATTATTTTCTTTGTCTTTTGTCCGTATTTTCTCGGTATTATCCTGATTTGCGGTGATTTCTCGGTGATTTTGCCGCGCCCTCGCTCGGGCGGGGGATCTGTAATTTCTGCGCCTGGTCTGCCGAATCCTCTCGCCGGGGCTTGGATTACCAACCACCCCGCATTATTTTTCCATTTCGCTCCGGTTTACCGTTTCTTGCTCCCGTTTTCTTTTCGTTTTCTCCTCATTTTTTCCCGTCATTTGCGGCCTCGTCCCACTCGTCCCAAGATACTGTGTGTGAGTTCTGTTCGTCGTCAAAGATTTCGAGCTCTGTGCGCGCGGCGTAGGGTTTATGGTTTTCTTATAGCTGCTGCCGAGCTTGCTTGTTCTGCTTCTGGGTAGGAGCTTCGCTTCTGCTTTTTCTGAGGAATGATGGAGGTGAGGGCGTCGCAGGAGCAGCAGGGAGGGATGGCCGGGAGAGAGCCGTTCGGACTGCCCAGCAGCCCGCCCACGCCGCAGTCCTCCGGCCCCGTGCCCAACATGCGCATGACCTACGGCGAGGACGGCAACGCCTACTTCCTTAAGCCGGGCTCAGCTCCGCCGCCGGCGGAGGCGTACCAGCCAGGGGGAGGCGCTGGCCTCGACATGCCAGCTGGCCCCGACGCGGCTGCTGCGGGGGGCAATGGCGGGCCGGCGTTCGAGCTCAACATGGAGGAGGAGGCCGCCAAGAAGCGCGGCCGCGCAATGAAGTACGGCGACGACGGCAACACGTCGCTGGCATTGGTGCCCGTGCCCATGCCCGAGGAGCCCACTGCTGTGGCGCCCGGTGGTTCCGGGGCTTTCCCGCAGCCTGCCGTCAAACCGGCGGCGGGCGGCGTGCTGGCGGTGCCGCCGGCGGGGATGAAGAAGCGGGGTCGCCCCAAGGGCTCCACCAACAAGGTGAAGAAGCAGGACAAGGTCATGTCTGCGCTTGCTTTCATCGGTAAATCTCTCTCTAACCTTCTCCATTTCTCTGTTATTACGGTTTAATTACTTTTGTGAAGCAATTAGAGGAATTATTTACCTGCCCTTTATTTATTTAATTTAATTTCCTGTTGAGAAATTCGAAATTTACTGCCTAGCCTCTGGACATACTGATTAGCTTTGACTAGATCTGGGGTGTTGTACTGCGTGCAGACTGCAGGTGGAAATTACTGCTGTACCCTTCTTGCTTTTCAAACTGTAGCCTCTTTACTGTAACTGTCGTACAGGCAAGCTTAATTGAATAATTGCTGTGATTTTTGAAATAATGTGTAGCTACTAGCTAGGGATCCCTATTGCCTGACAGTTTCATCACCCAGCTGAAATTTAACTTTTTAACTGAAGCTTTACATGTCTGTTTGACTGAAGTTTAAAATGTGTCGCACTGCTTCTGTTGAGATCTCTATACGGGTGTGTTTGATCATGTTCTTGGTGAAATTTGTATTTCTGCAGGGACTGCAGGAGCTGGCTTTACTCCACATGTCATTGCTGTTCAAGCTGGAGAGGTAGTAAAAATTCCTCCTCAATCCCACATTCACATTGTAGCAGTGCCTGTTATAATATGTATTTTCGCATGTCATCCTGAGCACATACCAAAAAGCTGTGCATTTTCACATTGTAACTACAAATAACAAATTGTCCACAGCACTTGTGAATAACTTGAGTGCTGCATTGCAGGATGTGGCTGCAAAGATCCTGTCATTTGCGCAGCATGGAGTTCGTGCAGTTGTGGTTCTTTCAGCAAATGGCGCCATTTCAAACGTTACCCTTCGGCAATCTGCCACTTCAGGTGGGACGGTCACATACGAGGTATGTACTTCGAATTCGAGATAATACATCTCTTTCGTTGAAATCACTCTAGAAGGCTAGTCTATGACAGGTTTGTAAGTGATGGTTCTTGTTTTTCTGCCTCAGGGCCGATTTGAGATACTGTCACTGTCTGGATCATTCACCGTGCAAGAGACTGGAGGCCATCGTAGCCGAACCGGTGGGCTGAGTGTTTCACTTGCAAGTCCTGATGGCCGCGTCTTGGGTGGCGGAATTGCTGGACTTCTGATTGCCTGCACACCTATTCAGGTCTGTTCTTTCACACCAACCTCAAATCTCAGTAAATCATATATGTGCAGCCATAGTTTCACTTTCATGCATAGCATTCCTAATGAAACTTTCTACATTGCATATGCCAAAATACAGCCAAAAGTAAAATTCTTTGCATATTTTCGTCCCAGTGTGTTAGCATTCTTCAGTTTCTTTACCGTTTCAAACTGAGAATAATAGCTTTACTTATGTTACTTTGTAAATTACAATTGCCAATCTTTTCTATCTCATATACTAGCGAAAAGTAAAATTCTGTGCATAATTCGGTTTCATCGTGTTAGCATTCTAGCACAGCTGTCTGTCTCCTGGGTTTTGGTTTATGATGTGTATGTAAAGGCCATATGCCTCTCCGACGGATATTCTGTGCACACTGCTGAAAATTGAATGCTGCTTCATGATTCTATTCCTCAGTAGTCAGACTGCTATTTACAGTTAGTTCCCTAGAGTTTCCACATCATTGGCATCCACCTACTAGATCAGTTCTCTATTAGCAAGAAAAATTCTTTGCATAATTTCGTTTTGAGTGCATTAGCATTCCTCTGATTCCTCTTTACTGCAGCAATCGTTTGATGCATAGCTGTACATGTGTAGCTTGTGCATGATAATTGCTCATCTTTCCTAGCCCAAAGTGAAATGAATTCAGTATATTAGCAGAATTCTTCAGTTTCTTCACTGCTTCATAACCAAGGATGTTAGCACAATGATCTGTCTTCTGGATTTTCGTTTCATGATGTTTTGAAAAGGGCATGCCTCTCTGACTGAAATTCTGGGGACACTGTTGAAACCTGAATGTAGCTTCATGATTTTATTTCTCACTAGCCAGACTGTTATGTCCAACTACTTTCCTAGACTCTCCACATCATTGGCATCCACTTGTATTAGTAAGTCATTACACACTAGAGAAATGACTAACCAGTGCTATCCTTGCACCCGCAGGTTGTGGTGGGTACCTTCAACACCGTGGCCGAGAAGAAGAAGGCACCGAAGCACCAAGCTGCTGCTGCTGCACATGAGCCCGCATCCGCGCCACCGAGGATGACGCCGAGCTTCGTGCCGGCGCCGATCGCCGTGCCGCCGCTCGCGCCCGCTCCCATCAGCGTGGGGATGGCCCAGAACAGCCCGCCGTCCAGGGGCACGCTGAGCGAGTCCTCCGGCAGCCCCATGAACCAGGGAGTCCCGGCGGCGGCCACCCCCAGCAACAGCGGCCTGTCCAGCATGCCCTGGAAGTGAGCTCTGCATGCCATCGTCGTCAGTGACCAGCTTGACGTAGAACTCTGAAGCAGAAGAAGAAGAAGAAGAAACCTGAACTAGATGTCACCGTCGTCTTAGCGTAATTTCGTGTCGAGACTGTTTGTTTAGGCGTTGAACTGTTTAATGTGTGTCAGTCGTGGATTATTGTTAGCCCGGATGGATGTCGTGGATTAATGTGTCGGATTATCGTCGTGTCGTCGTCGTCGTCGAGTTTAACCGGTGGTTATGATAAATTTATGAACCTTTGACATTTGGTGTTCTCTGCTGGGTGTGTGGCTGTGATGCTGATGGTTGTTCTTTTTGGTTTTTGTTTTTGCAAGCTTTTTGCAAGTTTTGGTGTTCTTTGTGGATTTTTCTTTATTTTTTTGCAAATTTTCCTGTGATGCTGCTAATGTTTCTGCTCCTAGCTCCCGTGATGCTGATGGTTTTTCTGTTTGGATGTTTTTTTTTTTGCGCAATTTTTCCTGCTGCTGGTGTTGATCCGTATGTTGATGTTACTGGGTTGCTGGAGTACGTCTTCAGCTGAAGTTGACGGGCTTTGGAGAATACGTCTTCAGGAGAAGGCGACGGTTCAGAGATCACGGGAGGCGTCCGGATGCTGGGTCGGCTCGCTGCTGCTGGGTCCCACATCTTCTCTTCCACACAGCACAGGGCGCTACAGCCCAAACGAGAAGACGGCCAAGAGAAGAGAAGACACCATCGGCGCACGAGACTCGCGGCGCCCACCAACCTCGCCACGCCGGAACCATAGCCAGCCAGCCAGCCTGGGTATCGCCGGAGGGCGGCGCCAGTAGCGGGAGACGAGAGGGGGAGAAGGAGAGCGGAAGCGGAACCCGCGCGGTGTAGATTAGGAGGGGAGGAGGGGGCGAGATGTCTGTGCGGATCAAGGCGGTGGTGGACAGGTTCGTGAAAGAGCTGCAGGAGGCGCTGGACGCGGACATCCAGGACCGCATCATGAAGGAGCGGGAGATGCAGAGCTACATCCAGGAGCGCGAGCGCGAGGTCGCCGAGAGGGAGGCCGCCTGGAAGGCCGAGCTCTCCCGCCGCGAGGTAGTAATCCAACACCCCAGTAATCTCTGTCTCCTTCCCCACCATTCTGATTCATCTGCCTGCGTATGCCCTAGTGCTGAGTCAGTTGGTGGTGGTGTCCATGGCATGATGCCTTCAGAGTAGTTCAGATATCGGTTGCTGCTGAATGCTGGTGCATTTCAGATTTATCAGTGATCTCCTGTAGTTGCTCGATATCCGGAAGTAATTCTGAAGTTTAAGTGGCGTGGTCGAATTTGGTAGAAGGTGTTTGCTATGTTAGGTGTTGATTAATCAGTAATCGCTGCGCTTTGGGAGCAAATTTCACATCTACGGTTACTATGAGCATCTTTGAGGTCTGGGGTTCAGGTGCACTGGTTACGCTGTGGTAGTCAGTGACTGGATGTAAACTAGCCAGGTTCTTGCACAGGCATGAAAATTTGTGGTGATATACACTAGTGATGTGAGTGGGACTACTACTGCTCTTATCATAGTTATCAATTCTAAGTATTCAGTGATTAGATATGAGCTAGCCAGGTTCTTGCACATGGATGAAAATTGGTGTCATGATTACCATAGTACTATACCGTAGTGATGTGAGTGGGATTACTCCTGCTCATGTCATAGTTTTCAGTTCCAAGTAATGTGAAGGGGGGATTTTATCTTGTTCGAAAAATGTCATGTTTTTCTGTTGCTGAACAGATAGATCCTTAGTGATGTGGTGCGAATGTCAAATTGTGAGCCTATGCATAGGATTATCTTAATATAGGAGTAAAACCACGCTTTAATTTATTATTAGTATAATCACAACTATGTTGTTGTGAGAGAGCAGTAGATTTCTTGAAGCCTGTGGCTCAGTCCATATTTGGGATTCCTTCTGACCAAAGTGCTCTTATCTGCTTTCTTGCATGACTAGCACGAGGCCACCAGCCAAAGATACCTGCTTCTCTTATTGATTGTCTGCTTAAGTTTTTTTTCTTTGCGGGAAATTGACTACTGAAGTTGAATGCACCCTTTGACTTGTTTTCCTGCATGTTTTTCTTTTTTTGTTGCTAATTTGGTTATATCTCGGCACGTTGTGCTCGTGTCTATGGATTCTGGGCTGGCCAGCAACTCGAGGAAATACTGAATAGTGTTTGTAGATTGCAAGCATATTTTGTGCTGTGATATCAGAAAGATGTGGTGGTGTCTTGTCATATTCTGAGCACTATTCAGTTAATTGGGTAAAATGTTGTGGCTTGTGTGGTTGGCACGCATGATTTCAGAGTGTCATGTCCATCTTAAAACAAAAATTGTGGATGTCCAGTATCTGAACCTGCACACAAAACTTGTCCAGGGAGAATGTAATTCGTAAATAATTATCTTTCTGATTGTAACAAGGTATCTAATAGAGAAAATGATGTGCTTTATCATTTATGCTCTGTTGTTCATTACGAGTGATTTTGGGCTTTATATTAGTGTAGCGAGCCCTGCTGCGATGACTATGTTTTGTCATATTAGGAGCAGGATAAGTTAAGTGCACATTTTGTTCTCTCAGACCTTAAGACATTTATTTGAACTTAGAACCAGACTTAAACATCAGCTTCTTATAATTTTTAAAAAGATTTTTCGATAGACAAAAGTGAAGAGTTCTTGATCGATAACTCTAAACGTATCCATTCCTTCCCAAATGAAACGATAACACCAGCAGCGTCTTCTTATCATGGCTTGATTGACAGGCTACTCATCTTTGACAGGCTGAGATCGCGCGGCAAGAGGCGAGGCTGAAGATGGAGAAGGAGAACCTGGAGAAGGAAAAGAGCGTCCTCATGGGAACCGCCTCCAATCAAGACAACCAAGACGGAGCCCTCGAGATCACCGTCAGCGGCGAGAAGTACAGGTGCCTTCGTTTCTCCAAGGCAAAGAAGTGATGGACGAATGAGGCGCTGAGGAGGCCTCCGTGTACTGAACTAGGCATAGATCTGTGTACCACCAAATCACCAGCGTTGGGCCTGATTCCGATTCAAATTGAATTCTTTCTGTACAGGGAATTCTGAAGATGTGCGCAATAAAATGCATAGCAGCTCATGCCGAGCTAAGGATTTTCAGTTTTTCATTGTGTGCATTATGGATGTTGTGCAAGTTTTTTCTTTTAGGTGGCGGGTGGTGTGCAAGTGCAGCAGCTGCAAATGTAACTCAGCTGATGTAAGCTCGCCTGTCAGTTGTCATTGTCTTGTCTGGTACACCATACCAGGCCCAGCTATGCACCTATGCTAGCAAGTCGTTAACCACTAGACCAGCTCAGTGCTGGCGGTACGAATGTTCCGGTATTAATTCTCCAATATTTCTTTCCCTTACTTTCTAGACCAGCATTAGCATATCAGGCTATGTCGGTGTTCCAGCTAATTGGGCGCTAAGAAACTGTCAGCGGCCATGACAGCCTCTCGATATTCCTGCCAACTTATATATATCTCAGCTCAATCAATTAACTAAGCTCCCCGTTCTTAACAGCTACGAAAACTAGCAATCTTCCCGGCTACTCCTGGAAATTTCCTTGTAAACAAAGTGTGGTGCAGCACATTGCTCGGTTTAGTCCACCGAATGTGACCAACAGCCTGTGTACCAGAGCACTTTACGCCACTTTATTTATACAAACGTACACACGTCTTCTTGAGATGGCACCAAAAAATTCCAGCTTTGGGAACGGCCATTTGTTTAGGCTTGGAGCGCCATCAACGGCTGGCCCATCTGGCAGCTGGGCAAGCGAGCGGAGAAACGGTCGTCGTCCTCCGGGCCAATTACGGGCCCCACGGCCCAGCTCGGGCGAAAGCACCATGGAAACGCTCCCTCGAACGACACACCCCCCGCAGGAAACGCGCGTCCGTCCTCCGTCGCCGTTGCCGCCACGTCTATAAAACCGCCCGCGACCGCTAGTCCAACGCCAGCACCACACATCATCATCCATCGCACGAGCCGCGGAGAGGAAGGCTTCCTGTCCTGTCGGTCGGTTGACATGGGCGCCACGTCGTACGAGAGGCTGTCGAGCCACGCCGCCGGGAGCGGGCGCGGAGGGGGAGGGCTCGGGGCGTGGGCGGCGCTGAGGCGCGGGCTGGCGCGGCTGTGCGCCGCGCGGCGCGGGCGGTGGGCGCCGGCGAGGGGCATGCTGGTGCGGGCGCGGGGGAGGAGCTGGCGCGGCCGCAGGAGGGTGGCGGCCGGGTGCGGGTACGACTCCGAGGGCTACGCGCGCAACTTCGACGACGGGCTGTGGAAGGCGGAGGAGGGCGCGCCGTGGAGGGCCGCGGGGCCGGCGATCGGCGCCTGCAGGCTCGCCCGCGCCGTGTCCTCCCTCCAGTGATTCATTCTTTCGGCGTTTTTGTGATCGCTCTGTGCGTTGTGAGGTAGCCATTGGTTATTTTTTTTTTCAGGATTTGATTCTCGTAGTTGGATTAATTATTGTAGGACAGTTTTGTTTGTATAGTTTGTAAATCAGGCACGCAGAATTGAATAAATCTCGATGTACATGGCCATGTTTTTGAGTTCATCTGGAATGGTGACGATACATGAAGAAAGAAGGGCAGATATGACGAATGTTTGGCACAAATTATGATACGGCACGAGCACTAAGAGCAACTTCAATGGAGCGATCCATTTCGTCCGCTGCCGTCAGTTTGGATCGATGCGGACAAAAAAGAGCCCCAACACGGCGACCCAAACCTAAATGAAGTCCGCTTCGCGTCCGCACCGACGCATTTGCGACCCAAATTTACGTCCCAAATGTGTCGGCGCGGACGTGGCACGGACGCCACGCACGTCTTCTCGGTGTCCGCCGCGGCCCCACCTGGCGGTCGTTCAACCGCCCGTCACTTACCTGGTCAGCTTAATTTATGACCTGAGGCCCACACGTCATCGATGGCAGTCGTCCTTTTTTAAGCCGACTGTGCGGCGGGTCCGTCCTCATCCAACCAGCCCACATCCTCATCTAGCCACACTCGCTCCCTCGTCGCCGGCAAACCCTAGCCACCCCGGCCGTGCCAAATGAGGCTCTTCTCCGGCGCCGGCAGCAGCAACAAGGCCAAGGGCAAGTCGCCCGCCATCCCCTTTCCCCCGGAGTTTCTCCTGCCTCCGCCGCCGGCGCCAGCTCGCCGGCCGAGGCATCGCGTCAACGTGCCGGTGCACCAGGCGGAGTGTTACTGGCAGCACCGCGTGCCTCTCCCGTACCCCGATGCCACCCTGCCGCATGACTAGCATCTAGATCCGGAGAGGATCCCGGTGCCAGCGGCCCCACGGTCGGCCAGGGCAACGTGGAGGAGGTGCGGCGCCGGCGGGCGCTCCTGACACCGGAGCAACGCCGCGACGCCGCCTACGCCTCCGACTCGCCCAACTGGGCGCGTTGGTTCGCCTTCGAGCACGAGGAGGCGAGGCGACGCAGCGTCCGCGAGGTCGACCGCACCGTGCCACCGCCCCCGCTCATCGTCCGCGAGAAGGACCAGGCGGCGGAGGCCGCCTACCAGGCTGCCCTTGCGGCGGTCTGCCGGGAGAGCGAGGAGGACGAGCGGCGCAGGGCGACGGCGGCAGAGGAAGAGGAGGCGACGTACGACGCGGCCATGGCGCAGGCCATGGCCCTCTCCGCGGCGGGCGACTGCGTCCTGTCGCTGGTGATCCCGCCGTCCCCGCCGTCCTATGTGAAAGCAGAGCCGGAGCCGGAGCCGTCCCTCATAGAGCGCTACTCCTGGACGGGAGTAGTGCGCGAGTGCGTCCGCGCACCGCCGGTCTAGGTGAGGGCCACGCCGGCGCAGGAGGCGGCGTACCTCGAGCACCGGCGCCACATCTAGCTGGCCGAGGAGCGTCGCGACGGCGAGTACCTCGAGATGCTCGAGCGCGACGCCGAGGAGGAGGCGCGCCAGGCCGCAGCGGCACAGGCGGCAGCAGAGCCCGCGCCGGCGCCGGCACAACCCGCACCCGACATGAACGCCCTCTGGAACTCGACGTTCTCCTGGGCCGACCCTGCGCCGACGCTCATCGACATCACGGACCCCGAGGACGACGACGACGCCTAGGGCAGTGCGCCACCTCATAGTTTAGTTTACTTTAAGTTTTTATTAATGCTAATGGGGACGCGTGGACTCTCGCCAGCCTTCGTGGCCGGCTTTAATGTATAATTATCGCTTGTTTTTTTTCTCGCTACGTCAAAAATGGGTCGGGCCAGCGTTGGGCGCACGCGCCGACCCAAACGCAGAAGTGAACGTTCGTGTCCGTCTGGCCGACTCAAACGGACAAAAGCGGACAAAAGCGTCATCCGTTTGGGTCGACCGGTTGAAGTTGCTCTAAGCTATCTCAAAACCTGTCAATACAAAATTTGAAAGCTCAGAGATATAGCAAATGGAGCTCTCGTGTAAAATAACTTGTGGTTACTTCCAACTCATTAGCTCCTTACAAAATGAACTCTTTTTTTCAAAAAACCTTCGATCTATTCATCTTCAATCATAGCAGTACAACGAACATCAAAAATAATAAAAATTACATCCAGATCCGTAGACCACCTAGCTATGACTACAAGCACTGAAGCGGGCTGAAGGCGCGCCGCTGTCATCGCCCCTCCCTCGCCGGAGTCGGGCACAACTTGTTGTAATAGACAGTCGGAAAGTCGTCGTGCTAAGGTCCCATAGGACCAGCGCACCAGAACAGCAACCGCCGCCGATGAAGGATAACGTAGATCGAAATGATCCAATCCGAAGACACACGATCATAGACGAAAAACAACCAGATCCAAGCAAATCCACCGAGGATAGATCCGCCAGAGATACACCTCCACACGCCCACCAACGATGCTAGCCGCACCACTGGAACGGGGGCTAGGCGGGGAGACCTTTATTCCATCTTTAGGGAGCCGCCGCCGTCTCATCTTCCTGAGCAGGACACAAATCCTTACAAATCTGAAAGGAACGACTAACAACGGAGCCCTCTCGCCGGCCGTTGCTAGGATCGACCTCGCCTCCATGGCCCTAGGGCCACCGGAGATGAGGCAGACCTGCAGCGGAGCCGGCGAGAGGCACAAACCCTAACTTTTTTGGTGGAGGAGGAGGAGGCGGCTGCATTGTCTTTTCACTAACCTTAGTTCTTTTTTACAAAATGGACTCTCATGTAAAATAACTTGTGGTTACTTCCAAAAGGAGCTACAAGGTAAATGTTATCATGTTCACACTTATGTCTCGCATCACTGGCCCTGTAGGGTTCAGCCGTTGGTTTTACACTCACAAATTAATTGTCATGTACCACACGCGCACCCTGAATATGAAAACATAAGTTAATAAACTTGCTAATATTAGAATATATAGTTTTACATTTCCAAATATAACAGAAAGTCTGGTGCTCGTAAAATGACCAAAATTTGGTACTAATTTTGATATTGTTTCAGACTTTTTGATAAAAAAAGAATAAGCTTAGTTCTACTATGAAACTTTGAGATACCTATATCACAGGAATTTTGGTGCATTTTTAACAAAATAAGTGTCATCGGCACACACTAGACGAGCTGTTGTGAGTTTGGCTTTGTGAGTGAGGGCGCATAGGGTGTTGATTTGTGGTGTGGTTCGCTTTCGTCCAACCACATGAGTTGATCTCGATCAATTCCTAACAAGGACAGTGCCTAGTGGGCTCAGAGTTTAGAACGATTGGCTCTTGACTTTGTGGTCTAGCTATGCACTTGGGTAATGTTTGGCCATTATCATAAATGATATGTCATTAAGTGCATTTTTAGCAAATATGTTTTTATTCGATAATGTTACCCAGCGAACGTCGTCGGCTGGGAGAGGGTTGGCAAGCAAACGCTATTTGATGGCAGTCTTAGTTGTGAGGAAAGATCAAACGACGACAATTAAGAAACATGCACTCTCTGAAGAAATTGTCATGTCGCTCTGAAGCAACTGCCATC